AGCTAAAAAAAAAAAAAAAAAAAAGAAAAACTTGCACATCTAGAAAAACCATATTTATTAACCTGCACAAAAGATAAAGTGTTATGCCATTTGCTTTGATCAATACACATTTTTATTTTCTCAAGAAATCTTTCTGTAGGGGGGGGATAAAAAAAATTAAAAAATGTATACCCTTTATAGGGATCTTTACCAATATCTCCAAATGGCTAATGATAAGGTTTATTTTTGCCTGCACTGGAGTGTATGAGCAGCTAGTATGAAAAGAGACACTCACAAAATAGACTCACTGCAGGCTCCCAGCGCCAAAAGACAACCGCTGTATGTAATATGGTTGTGACTATATAGGTGGCTGTGAAGAAAGCAGCCAGGTGAAGATTTTTGAGGTGAAGTAATATAGCTAAAGGGAATAGGTTTCACATCGCACAACAGAAAACAAATACAACTTACCTGCAGCCACTTGTCTCCTCCTACGCAAATGGGAAGTTCCCCAAACTTCCAGGTTGAGGGGAGAGTACTGAGGGCAGAGGAACCATAGGCTATGCTATTTCTGGCCTTTGTTCACACGAACACGGTCCGTTCCAGACCAGAAAAATGCTGCTCGTCTCATTTTGTCTGGTCTGAAATTCCCATGGAAACCGCATGGAAAACGCATACAAACTGACTGGAAAGCACCTCAAAGCCCATTTTAAGCTTAAAAAAAAAAAGCTCTGGAACACAGCAAAATCGCGGTAAAAAGGCAGCAAAACGCAATGCACTGCGTTCCAGATCTGGTCTAGAAAATACCGTGAACCTCCCTGAAACCTCTTGATCCATTGATGTAAAATTGGCTCACTTATCCCTCTAATTCCTGAGTGATAAATGTTTGCTAACTTAAAATAAACAACACGTTAGTTTGTATTACAGCCAGGGCAGCCATCAGGGGGGTACGGCAGATACTCATGTAAGGGGCCCGGGCAGCCTGGGGAGCCGCCCGGGTCCCTTACATGACTATGGGCCAAGGGTGAAGGGCGAGGAGGCGGAGGCCTGGCCCTAGCAGCGCAGGGCCCCAGAATTGTAGCTCCAGTGGCTTTGACACAAGCTAGGGCCCCATCAGCGACGCTGCTCGTCTGATGCCGGACTGACCGGAAGTGACGTCACTTCTGGCCGGTCCGGCGGCAGACGAGGCCATGTGTGCAGGTAAGAGGAGCTAGGAAGGAAGGAAGAAAGGAAGGATGCAGCCCTGACTAGCCCACCTGAGACCCCTTCAGAGCCCACCATAGACAGTCTCAGATGGGCTGTGAAGCATCTATAGTGGGCTCTGCAGGGTCACTCTCAGGTGGGTCCTGTGTCCAGCGCGTCACTAAGTCTAATGATCAACATTTGTTGGAGATGGGGAGACCCCCCAATCAAATTTCGGTGGATTACTACTGCTGAATTGGCTAAAATTTGTGTACCCAGTTTAACATTTACCAAACATTCATTGCAGTTGCATCTTTCTGGTACACGGGTGGTAAATCGCAGTCATTGATTCACCTGCAGTGAATGTTTGGTGAACATTATAAATATGTCCCAAATTGTTATTGATACAATTACACTATTGCTATACAGTATACTGTAACATGATGGGAATTTATTCAAGCAGCACTTAGTCATCTTGTTCCTAAACAGCTCCTACTCTCTTAGCTTGGCTTCCCTGAACTTCCTTAAGTACAAGATCACAAGAGACAGCACAGTCTCCAGCAAAGTCCATCTACTAACTTGTATAAGGGAGGAAGGGGAGCGGGATGAGGAGAGAGGATTGCCTTGCTGTGCCTGTGTGTTTGTGGAGAGAAACCCAGCTTGCTAGCACAGACATAAGACCCTGCAAGAGAAAGGTGCCACCCTAATACAGGATATACGGGCCAGTGCTCTGGGGACCAGCTGATTGTGCAGGAAGCTAACATTATTAAACATCAAGGAGCAGCATTCACTGTAAGTGATTTCATCAGCATTTGTAATAGATTAAAGCCCTCCTGACTTTAAATATCACTTTAAGGGGCTGATGTATAAAACTTCCACCCAGCGTACAGCCTCAACTCCATCTAGTGACAGTTATGCTGTAAAAATGGAATTCACTGGGCAGAAGTTTTATACATCAGCCACAAAGTCTTGAAAAAAACTAAAATTACACTACAAGTCCACCAGCTTGTGAGCAGCACAACTATCTCAAAAGTCAAAGTGGAAAAACACTTTCTAGAGAAGTCACACACCTGCATTTCAGGTTATGTTGTCGATGTGAAGTCATTTTGAAGATAGCTTTTGCTAGTTTGCTGGAGATTAGGTCCGAAATACCATAATTTGTTAATATCTTCTGAAAATAAAGCAACAGATCTCCACAGGAGACACCTGCTATGTGAAGATTACAAGCATTTTCGTGTCAGCAGCCTGTGAACCACAATGTGCTGGTTACATTAAGAGGATAAACAAGCGCTTCCCTACAGAGAGCCTACAATAGCAGACACAGGCAGAACATATTACAAACTGCATTCGAATTATAGTGTATTTTAGAAATCCACTTTGAATGCTAATTCTGAAGGATCAGGTCACCACTTCCAGCCAAATCCTGCACATGCTTGGACAGAGCATTTCACAGAAATAAAAGTGTCTGGCAGAAACACTTGGGAAGGATACAATACTTAGCCCTTATAAACCAAAAAAAGCTTGTTAGATGACAAAAGAAACCTAGAAGTAATGTTACTCCTAAAAAAATACCCGTGCAATATTATATTTAAAACAAAGAACTTGTTTTTCAACTACCCAGAGATTAAAAAGGAGAACTATGAGGCGAGTGCTTTTCACTCCTCATAGTTCTAGCCGACCTGTGACAATGAGACTGTCACAGGTCGGCTCAGTAGATCGGGAGGTGAGCGAACACATACCGGCGTTCGCTCACCTCTCGATCCTGTCACGGCTCTCTGCCGTGACAGGGGAGGGGCTGGTTTCCCCCCTCCGATCCGCCAGCGCTGACTGGCGGAACGGACGGGGGAGGAGGCGGGCACAGCTGGCTCTGCCTCTAGATAGGCAGAGCCAGCTGTCAGTCACGCAGCTGGGCAGATCCCGGCATAATTGTCGGGATCCGCTTCAGCTGCGGCGTCTCCGTATACCGGGAGCTACAGCTCGCGGTATACTGAGCTTGTGTCCTCCCGTTACCCTAAGAAGAACTATGGGGAAAAGCCTTAACCCCCATAGTTCTCCTTTAAGCAATTGTCATAGACGCAATGACTGACAATAGGTCAGCAAACAGACTTCAGGGAGATTCCATGGGCCAGGGTGGATTATTCTGGCCAACAGGCTACTGTTTGCCAGATATGACTGCAGAACACGGACTGTTGGCTAGGCACACAAACATGTGTCATTGTTAAAAAAAAATTAAAAATAACCGTTTGATTTGCTTCCCATTAACTCCATCTAATATTTATGGGCCAGCTACGAGCAAGAAAAAAATAATTACACACACACTATATTTCCAAAAGTACTGGAAGGACTGCCTTTATATAAAGTTGGGAGCATGACATTGTCCAAAATGTCTTGGTGTGCTGATGCCTTAAGAGTTCCCTTCACAGGAACTAAGGGGACAAGCCCAACCCCTGAAAAACAACCCAACACCATAATCCCCCCTCCACCAAACTT